ATATGAGTTTGTATGTAATGTATGAGTATAATATACAAGTTTCACTTTTTAAATGGAATTACTGAAATAAATCTACTTTTTCATGATATTCTAATTTTATGACCAGCACCTGTATGTAACTGCTGGAAGACATTTTCTTTCATTCATGCATTCATTTATGTAGCATTTAACAACAACCAACTAAAGTGACCAAAGAACTTTACAGTAAAAATCACATCAAAAGAAAAGAAAACATAAAAACAAGAGAAAAAATACCACTCTGCTACATGGTATTAAAAAGCCTGTCAAAAGAAATAAGTCTTGAGCTTAGACTTAAAGATGTCTGGGTCAGAGATGGAGCAAAGCTCTAGAGGGAGTTTGTTCCAGAGTGACAATTGCATTTAGCTTAAAAGATAGGGCACTGACATCTATATTGACAAAGTCACCCAATAAAAAACTTCAGTCTTTTTATGATTTAAAACCAAAAAGTTTCTACTTAGCCACTGTGTTAACAGTTGTTATGCAGTTCAAAAAAGAGACAACCACATTAGTTATGCCTGGTTTAACAGACAAGTAGATTTGTAAGTCATCTGCATAACAGTGGAAGGACACTGTGTGCAAATATAACTTCTCCTAGTAGTAGCATACTGTATAAAGGGAAAAGTAAAGGGAACCAAGGATGGAACCTTGTGGCACCCCACACAAAAGAGGAGCACTGGAGGAGGATAAATCATTGATAATGACAGAGAATGTTCTGTCACATAAGAAGTAAGCCACTTCACTGCAGTCCCACAGATACCAACAAAGTGTTTTAACATTTAAAGGGGCAATATTGTGTATTTCTCAGGCATACATTTAAATACTATACCATAATAAAGTATCTATGTCACCTTTAGTTGTTATTAAAATGCTGTTTTTATGTTTAAATAGGAAATAAACTTATCTTCTCATCACTTCCTCTTCCAAACACCTTGAAATTGGCCTCTGTCTCTTTAAGATCCACCTTCCACAGATCAATTTTTTACGTCCGCGTCCATGGTGCGCACAATGACATGTACTGTTCTGGGTGAAACACCAAGCTGATAAAGTTGAGAATCTAACACATTCTCACTCCCGACTCGTCAACATATTGACGCTTTTCCAAAGTTCCCTCTGCATCTTATTTTGATGCGTCAGTTGACCCCCTCGCGTCAGTCTTTGCTGCCCGCGGTTTTTCCGGGTTGCGCGACCAGGTGTCTTTGGGTCGGGGTCTGAGGTTAACATGTGAGGGATCAGGATTATTGGTTAAGTTTAGGAACTGGGGTCAGGGATAGGATGTCTACGGCGAATATTAGGTAATTTTAGGCTTTGGAACATGTACTTGACGTGAATTTCCTACATTTTCTAAAAATGGTTAATTTTAGGTATCAGGGTTAATGGTTAATTTTAGGTACTAGGGTCAGGGACAGGATGTCTAAAGTGAATAAAGGTAATTTTAGGCTTTGGGACGGTAGTTTTTGTGCGTTTTCTACACTTTCTGAAATTATGACAACAGATTCCGCCCCATCTCGTCAAAAACTGACGCAAGGGGCCTACACAACGCATCAAAATCTAACGCAGTGGGAACCTTGGAAAAGCGTCAATATGTGACGACTTGGGAGTGAGAATGGGTTGGAGAATTAGTGTCATTTGTGGACGAAATGGAGTCAAATCTTGAAAAGCATCTCATGGAGAAGATTATAAAACTTTAAGATGCGTCAATGAAGGAGTATAAAGACTTTCAGCGAGCAACAAATTTGTGGGAGGAAATAGCTCAGATCCTGGGTAAGGTAGTTCTTTTCGTTTTTTATTTTATTTTATTGTTTTAAAGCTAAAATTCAAACTATCTCCTCCTCCTAATCCTTGACATCATGACTGAAATTGTGAGAAATTAAAGAATGTGTCAGGCGGTCAGTACACTCGAGTATGAAGTGTCAACCGTCTGCGGACAATACGCACGGAGTCCGCACGGCTCATGGAATGCGCACAGTACGCCAGAGTATGTGGGAGCCTTAAAAATGCTGCAGGATTTCTAAACCATGTATTAATGAGTCTAAGCAAGGCTTTGGGCATGCTTTTATGAGAGTATAACATTACAACATGATATAAAACTCAAAAAAGTTGATTTTACATGATATTGCCCCGTTAAACACTTTATCAACATTGGAGGAAACTTTTTATAAGGATCATATCCACCTGTTTCCAAAAGATTTGGAACTTCTTATCAAGTGGAATCCTCCTTTAGAAGCTGTCAATAGTGTTGGAAACATTGCTGACTTTAGATGGGGTTAGTTTAGATCTAAGGAGGATGAACTTAATTTGTTGCTGTTTGGTTTAAGGATGTTTTGAAGTGAATTCTGATTTGATTTCAGATAAGCAGATAGTGAGGATGGAAGGTGAGAGGGAAGAGTTTGGTGAGGTGGATGAGAAGAGCTGGGTGTCATCAGTGAAGCAATGAATGTGGATGTTGACTTTGCGAAAAGTATTGCCAAGGGGACAGCAGCAAGTGATGAAAAGAAAAGGCCACAGGACAGAGCCCTGGGGCACAGGTACTCCTGAAGTCACGGGAGAAGAGAGATCTGAAGAATTTGAGTTGAATAAACTGAGTTTGGCCAGTAAGATAAGAACGAAACCAGTTCAGAGTTGTGAGGGTGATACAAAAGGCTTCTAAGTGTGGTATCAAAAGCTGCTTTCTGAATGAGGATGAGGAGGGAAAGCTAAACAAAATCAGCATCCATTAGAAGAGCATTTGTGGTTCTCAGAAGAGCAGTTTCTGGGCTGTGACCGGGACAGAAATCAGACTGGAAAAGTCCCTATAAGCTGTTTTGACGTAAAGTGAATTGGAGAGTAGCAATAGTTTATTCCAGTATTTTCAGATGAAAGATAGGGCAGAGATTATTGTAGTTGACCAGAACCAAGTTTTTCTAGAATTTGGATGACTGTTGCATTTGTTAAAAGATTAGAAACTGTTCTAGTATTAAGAAATACATCAGCCTTGACCTCGTTCAGACTAGCTGTTAGCTCGTCACAAAAAATGTGTTTCAGTCAAAAATAAGATACACGCTGTGTCTAAATTCATCGGTTGCAGCCAGCGTCGGCCACATTTGTCAAAACCCTGAAAATGTAGGCTGCATCTGGGTATCCTACGAAGCCGACATTAACCTATTTTATTTTACGGCTGAGTTTTGGGGGTTTTTTTAAACTGGTAGTTTGGAAATTTATCACGGACTGAAGAATGTAAGTTAAGCAACTTAACCGAAGAAAGTTTTGCTGCAATGAGATGCTAAACTCAAATTATTAATGCTTTTAATTTATTTAGTTGTAATGTTTTTCTATTAAAACTGAATTTTGTGAAGTTATACCTTGAAAACAAACCTAGTGAAGCGATGTGAAATAAATTGTTGCATGGTAAAAATGCAGCATGTGGTCACCCAAACATACATCTTCTGTAGACAAGACTGTCTCATTTTACAGACGTTTATGCAGTCGACACGAGTGGCCCACATAGCCTGTGGCAAACATTTGTTTATAACCATTCAGCAGAACCCTGTTTCAATCTGAATGAATAAAAGTTCTCTTCTGCTGACTCCATTCATTCAGTACTTGATTTATCATTAAACTTTTTTTCCATTCAGCATACATTGTTTCAGACATCACCCTAAAATTACTAAACAATATTCTCTTTGATTGTTGAAGTTTTCTTTGATCTTTCTTGCTTTGCTCTCAACAGATGATGCGTATCTTCTGACCGGCCTGAACATTGAGGAGATTTACCCAGAAACAAATAGTTTTATCACATATGAAGGATCGATGACCATCCCGCCGTGCTTTGAAACAGCCACATGGATCCTGATGAACAAGCCGGTGTACCTCACACGCATGCAGGTGAGGCCGAGCCACCAACCCAAACCTGACACACAGCTCCCACTGGGAGATCAAAGGGTTTTGTTTTTTCTCCTGCAAAACGTGTAAACTCAGCACTGAAGCTTACACGTTTTCTGTTTAGGTGCTGCACTCTGAGTCTGATGCTGTGGAACAAAAAGTTTAAATCACATTTCCATAGCATCTCTGCTAACTTCTCTGTTTCTGTCTTTAATCGATCACAGATGCACTCATTGCGACTGTTGAGCCAGAACCAGCCATCTCAGATCTTCCTGAGCATGAGTGATAACGTTCGCCCGGTCCAGCCTCTGAACAACCGCTGCATCCGCACCAACATCAACTTCAGCATGCAGGGCAAAGACTGCCCCAACAACAGGGCTCAGAAGCTTCAGTATCGAGGTACGGACCACTGGGTAACTCACGTTTCTGTCCTCATGTCTCATTTAGAAATCACTCACGAGGAACAGAACCGAACTGAACCACAACAGAAAAACATGAAGCATGAAACTTGCTTTATTCTTCATGTTTTTAATAATTTTAAAAGTAACCTGTACATCTTGTGTTGTTCAGTCAGGATGTCACACTGAACTAACTGCTGAACAGAAACGAATGGTGACTGGATGGACAGTCTGTGAACTCTGTCACCTCTGAAAACTAACTTCTTGTAGCTCAAAGAAGGAAATGATCCAAGAAGTTTGTTCCTGCAGCCGTTATTCCATCTGATGGCTGCCAAGCTGCTGACAGGACACACAAATCAGCCCTAACATGACAGGTGGAGTGAAAAACAGCTCACTACACTGACACCTGGCACTGGGTGGAGTACATTAAGAAGGTGGAGAAGATTAATGTGGATATGGTGGAAACAGAATCCTGAGGATTTCAGTGACTCGACAATGGTGACAGTGTGGTTTGTTCTCAGGCTGCAGAACTTAGAAAGAAAATCAGAGAAACACCAAGACAGTTAACAAACTGATGGGCCTGTGGTGGGAAACATGGCTCAGGTTGCCAATTTAAAAAGAGCAACTGAAGCTCAGCATGTTGACTAAGTTAAAGTTGTGTTGCGTCACACTTTATTTAATATGTAGCTGCACCACAGTCATAAAAAAATTATTTTACCCTCTTTCAGTTTGAAGTTTTTACATAAAAATGATCTGGGGCCTCATGCATAAAGGATTGTGCAGCTTTCACACTAAAAGTTGGTGTACGGACAAATTTAGAAAAGTGCGCCACACCAAAATATTCAGATGTATAAAACTGTGCGCACGCAGGTTCCTGCGCACCTTTCCTTTATACATCCCAACGAACATGGAACATAGCGCACGTGAGACACCTCCCCTGACACGCCTCCATTTAAATATGTAAAATAATATAAATGTGTCCAGCGTGTGAGATTCTCCTCAGATTCCTCTCTGTGATCAGAAACAATTTTTTGATGCAGGAAAAATATACATTAAATGGAGAATGAGTGAGAAAACTGTCTAAATATGTGGTGTCATTGTTTTATGTGGCGCATTTGCACGGGAAAACCAAAGCCTGAGATTTTCTTGAAATTAGACATCTCCCGAATGTGATATTGAAGCCTGGTTAGTTGTTGTCTAGTTGAACATGGCATTGAACAGACGTTAAAAAAAACATCATGTTATCAACTTTTTCTGCTCTGCTTTCCTCTTGCGTTACAGGCACTGTCATCTCCACGGATGACAGACCCCCACCCCACCGCCACGCACGGGTACGAGTGGTAGCTTACGAATTTGTAGCAAAAAATTTAGATTTTTGAGGCTCATTAGACAGGTAAACGTCCAAAGGGGTTGACACATATGAACACCTTCCCAGCTAGCGAGGGTGCGTGCGCTCCTGGTGCAAACACCCAAAGTGAGCCACCATTTGCATCTGATTTTGCTCCCTGTCTTCAGCCTTTTTATTTTATTTTCTTTCTAAGTGTCGGGTTTTTCCGGCCGGGGACCAAAAGATTTTCAACAATTTGACAAAAATATAAAAACAGTTTACAGACTGGACTGAGGTTCTTTTGATCATTTTTAGACTGATCTATTCTCTTGTCTGAGGTTAAATGATTTTCAGTCCTGGGGTTCAGTTTCATGATCGTTCAGTTTAAACAATAAAACTCAAACAAAAAAATAATCTAACACTGTGTTCACATGCTCCTTACATCCAGAAAACACAACAAAGTTATGTTTCTGTGGATTCAGGTCAGTTTCGTGACTTTGTGAGTTAAAACTGTCGACTGAAAAACTTTGCGTGGCTGCCACACATTCTCATGGCAGGTGAAAACGTTGGTTTTGATACATCAAAATGTGGGCGTAGAACCTGGCGCACGTAACTTTTTTATACGTATGCACCGTTTATACATGAGGCCCCTAGGCTTTACCAGTTTTTAAAATATCCCATCAGATTTAAGAGAAACAACAGCAGCCAAGCTGCAGATCCAATACATTAATGAAGTGATCATCATCAGTGGGATTTCTTCTGTAAAAGTTTGCTGCTCAGCAACAAACAGGTGTGTCAAGACACCAACAATGACTTTAGAGTAGCAGCTAATACGAAAGGTTTAAACGTACAGTGCATAGGATTTTGTCAATTCTTTTAGCCGAAATTGAGATAATCACAAATGACAATAATAAAAAACGTGTCTAATCATTGCAGACAAAGACCTTGTTTTATTATTTTTACCTTATAAAAAGCTGTTTATATCTCCATGGTTGCAGGTTGCCACACAGGCAGCGGCCATCTTGCACCGCCATCTTGTCGACGAAGACGCATGAAGGACAAACTGCGGTGGCGGCGTCAAAAACGGTTTTAGTTGTAATACTATAAATGTAATATTTGTTGTCTGTCTGCTACTTTTACATGGACAAAAGTAATCGGATTAAAAGGTCGTTCGGAATGAAAAATGTGTCATGTAAACAGCCCATTCGGATTATTCTGATCCGATTGAGCTCGATCCGAATGAATTTTTAATCTGAATGAAAAGGGTGGGTTATGCCAATTGATAATCGGAATGACGTTCATGTAAACACTTAATCGGATCATCTTATTCTGATTGTAGAAAACTGATCTGTGTGCATGTCTTCTGACTTTCATTCACCCGGTTCTGCTCTTAGAGGAGGTGGGACAGCAGTGCTCCAGCTGTGCTGCGCCACACAGAACTTTTCCTTCACTTCTCCTTTATTTATTATTTATAATGTCATAAGTCAGTACTTGTGGTAAAGAGTGTTTGTTTAAATAAAGTGAATTGAACAGGATACCTTTACTTATACAGCAGTACTTAAAGGGCCAATATTATGTGTTTCTCAGGCATACATTTAAATACTATACAATAATAAAATGTCTGTGTCACCTTTAGCTTTTATTAAACTGTTTTTAAAATGCTGTTTTTATGTTTAAATAGAAAATAAACGTATCTTCTCATCACTTCCTCTTCTAAATACCTTGAAATTGGCCTCTGTCCACCTGTTCAGAGGTTCTGGGGCAGGTTTTGTGAAGACTTGTCTAAATGTTTGAAATGTTATATCCCACTCTCTCCGTCTGTTTGTTTATTGGCTATTTTAGATGATGTCACCTCAGACAAAAACAAATCTCGCATGAATTTTCACTGCCTTTTGTATTGCAAAGAAAACCATACTCTTGAATTGGAAAAATAAAAACGCTATTTGTATTAACCAGTATAGAAATCTCTTATTAGATCACATTTGTCTTGAGACAGCCTCTGCCGCTACATCTGATAAACTCTCTCTGGGCTCTGGTCGGCTTAATCACATAGTGGGGGTGGGGATCCTTGGACTGGGACTTGTGGGGCAGTGGAGCTGATGGGGGGGTATTGGGGTTTTGGGCATCTGGGGGGGTTCCTGGGGGCGGGGCTGATGGGGGTTCCTGAGCGGGGAGGGGCGTGGCTCTCGCCCTGGGGGCGCCTTGGGGGGGTCTGGGAGATTTCTTCTGGTGGCTACGTGCAGGCTCTTAGGTGGTCTGTGGCGGCGGTCATGGGTTGCCGACCCGGTGACCTGACTGTGCTGGGGTGGGTTCGGGGTTGGCGCGGGGGGCTTGGGGTTCTGGGGTCGTGCCGCCCCTGGGCTGTGGTCGTGGTGGGGTCAGGGGGGGCTTGGGGCCTGGCGGGTGGGTTGCCGGGCTCTGGGTTGGTTTGTGCCCTGGTGCCCGGCTCTGGGTGGGGGGGCCTCCTGGTGCGCTGGTGGAGGTCCGAAGCAGGGGGGTTGGGTTGGCTGGGGACGGGACCGGTGGCCCGAGGGAGGGGGTAGGCCAACCCAGCCTGGGTGTCTAGCGTGCTATATGTTCTGTGAGTTGTCGGAATGATGGGGTGGGCGTAGTATTTCTTCTGGGGTGGGGCTGGGCGGATGGCCGTGGTGGAGGCGGCGGGGTGTGCTGGGTTGGCTGGCTGGCCCCTTTGCTGTGGCGGGGGCTCGCTCTTGGTCCATCCTTGTGTTGTCCGTGGCTGGGTGTGTGCTCTCGGCTAGATCACTCTTGCTGGGGTTCGGTAGCTTCTTTGGGCTGCCGGTTGGCTGTGGGGCTGAGGGTCGGGTCTTGGGGGTCTGTGCGGCTCTGGGGCGGGGGGTCTGTTGGTCCCGGTTTCTGGCAGTCCTCCGGGCTCTGTCTGTCCATGATCTGGCGTCTTCCAGGCCTGGCGATCTGTCCAGAGGAGGAGGTCATGGGGCCTCAGTCCCTGGGTGGGTCTCGGGAAGCGGGGGAGCCTACTGGGGTCAGTGGGGGAGCTGGCCCCCTGTGGGAGCATTTTTGCTCCCTCATTTTTTTCCTCCCCATCCCCTACCGCAAACCTCCACCCTCTTCATTTTTCAACTGCACTCACATAGGGTTTTTGGGACACAGGTGTGTTACGGCGGCAACAATTTTACATCTGTTTGCAGTGGCCACCTGGGCTCCAATTTTACTGTACGCCTTAGACATTTACTCATAACCTCATAACATTTACACATAGGAACTTGGGAGTGGGCACTTATGCATGTAAGGGGCGGGATGGGACAGTCTCGCCACTGATGCCTGTGCCCAATCACATTATTTTCTTTTAGACATTTAAGGTTAGGGTTGGAGCTGGGATGGA